TAATTATTGTAATGGGTGCTATGGAAATTTCCAGAATAATACTTTAAAAGTTACGACCAAACTCTAATGTATTAGTAAATGTCAATGTCACTTTGTTGGAAAGTACAACCAAAGATACTCAAGTATAAAACCCATCTTGATGTGCCCTATATGTTCACGTGACTTTTATCTGGCTTGTTCTTTGCATTGTCTTTTCTTTTTTCTTTCCTATCAATTGAATTACATTTTCCATCATGAGCCAATGTTAGGCTTCCAAAAATTCTATACCACATACTCTCCTGTGGTTATCTAGTTGCTAGGCAGCTAGACTCTGCTTGAGGGCAGAAGGGAATAGTGAAAGTTCATTGCGAAGTTGTCCACTCCTGCTGAGTTCATCAGAACAACAGCGGGGGAGCCTATATCTTCCTTATTCTTGAAATTATAAATTAGGTTCTTCCACGTGTCTCCATACAAAACAGTAGGGCTTAGAACACATATGATAGCCAAAAAACCCTCAAGGATCCTATGGTGTCCCGGGATGAAGAGACAACTTTGCTTTTAGTAACTTTGGCTTTGTAACGAGTCTAATGTAAAGTTTACCCTTTGGATTAATTACATTCATATGTTGCAATTTTGTGACAGGTAACATGTTAAAGGAAGCATACAAAAACTTGGCCTGAAAATATTCCTGTGTGTTTTAATGGAACTAGTCTCACATACTGTTATACAATTTACTTTGTAGTTAGCATCATGCCATGAAAATTTTCCATGTTAGATAGATGATAGACCGACAGAGGTAACTTTATCATTCCCATGACTTACTAGTTTTGCAGTGTATGAGTCTGCCACAATTTTTCCTAAAAGCACCCATTTTCCAATACTGCCAGTCTTGCTGCAATGATCCTATGTAATTCTTCTTTTCTTGTTGCAATTATTAATTATCAAAATTATTATTCTGTTCTCCAATACTCTCACACTTTTTTTTCTTATTGATCATTAATGTTGGCATGTCCATCTTATTCCTGATTTTAGTAGGCATGATTTTAGCATATTACTTTTAAAAAGAAGTTTTGCATTTAATTTATTTTTTTTTCATTTTGGAAATACTTTATTTTTTTAAAATTTTTTATTGTTACGTTAATCACCATACATTACATCATTAGTTTTAGATGTAGTGTTCCATGATTCATTGTTTGTGCATAACACCCAGTGCT